GTTTTAGTTTACATTTAAAAACAGAGACGAGTACGCGCGTGTTGAATTGACACGTGCAATAAAAAATAAATAGTGGCGTGGTGTTTTTAAATGATGAGTTCATGTTCTTATAACCATTATATCAAAATAGGTTTATATTTTTTGAAACAAATATACGTCTATTTACTTGAATAAAGTTTAAAATATGCGTTATATTATCATAATTTTAAAAAAGTAGGGGGCCGGTAGACAAGGCAAAAAAAGGCTACTTCCAGTGTTCGACCTACCCCGGCCGGATACTAGCTTTGAAGATTGAAGGGATTCTTATATTTTATTGTATATCAGCATTTTGTGAAGTATAATTTTACTAGTTATATCTCTCTTACTTTTTAGTTACCCACATGTCCAGTCTCCAGCCGCAAAAATATGCTGTTTAAATAGTATATATGGTAAAAGATCTTGTATGAGAATACGGTGGCCGGACTACTAGTAGCCTAGTCCACCGGCCCTTAAAACGACTAATTGGCTGGCTATAGTTCCAGTCTCTGGCCACCCACTATCTATAGAAAAATAAATCTGTAGAATCATCGTGTCTGTCCGTACATTAAATAATATATATTTACTAAAAAGTGATTAGGAGCTATAAGGAACAATTATTATTTTTGATTGTTCGAAAACGCTTTTTCATACAATTGAAAGAATCAAAAAGAATTTTCATAAAAGTTTCAAAGGATAATTAAACTTAGTTTTGGCTTAATAACCTTTAACTTTTGTTTAAAATTATGAGAAAATATATTTTAAACACAAAAAGTTAGTTGTTTAACTATTTACTCATTTAATTATTATACAAAAGATACGCCAGTAGACTTAGATTTCGAATCTTTTGTTACCACAGCACAAATTCACGAAGAGCATAGGTCACGAAGAACATAGCCTACATTAGATAATCGACCCAGAATTAAAGAACGTAATACTCGTCTCGAATCAAATTGTATAATCAGTAACACTAAAGATTAAATAGAACCAGCTGATAGCTCGAAAAATCATTATGTTATTACGCACCTCATTGGTAGTGGATTTATCTTCACCGCTATTTAGCGGTGAAGATAAATCAAATTTGGAATTACAAAAAAATCGTGAACCACTTAAAGCGATCTATTCAAATTATCCATTTGTTAAATACTTAGCCCAAAAACAGAGTCCTAAACCAAGCGGTCTTAAGAAGCAAAGAGCGAGCGTTCAGCTTCCAAACGCAATTTCATCTGAGGCCTGGAGAAAACACTATGAAGTAAAAGAAAAACAAAAAAAAAGAGAAAGAAGAAGCTATAACTAAAAGAAAAATACTAAGGAAGTAAGCTAAAGAAAATAAAGAAAGAGACAAAATGAAGAAAATTAAACGGATTACAGAGAAAAAGAATAAAACAAGTGAACAAATTTATGATAAAAATATTAAAACTAAGACCATAAAAAAATGCAAACCGAAATTAAGAATTGGAAAGAATTTTCAATCTGCGGAAAAAGTTATTTTAATAAAAAAGGATCTAACGTGGAATGGATACAGTGTGTCAGGTATCACAAGTGGTTACACGTCACTTGTAGTACCAATCCCGATATCTGCCCAAAAAATAAAAAATTATATAAATCGCACCATAACAATTAATGTGATTCCTAGAATTATTATAAAGCTAACAGAATAAATCTTGATTATTTATCATTGCTTATTCATTTAAACTTGTTTTGAAAACTATACAGTAAGTATGACATAATATCACAACAAATTCTTTTTATATTCCTACCGTGGTTTACATATGATATGTGGAGAAAAAGGTGATTTTAATTTATTTTTTAATTTTTCTTATATCATTAACCTTTGCGATTGTTAATTTAAACACTTATATTTATAATTAGTATGTGTACTTAACTTTGAATACCACTTTAATATTTTTTCACTATAGTAGATTAAAAAAGACTGAATAAATTGTTAACATTATAAGTAGCTTTATATCACACTTACATTATAAACACGAGTTTTAATTTTTTAAACGCATATAAAATTGCATATAATTTTAATCTTAAGTACCGTAGGACATAACTCGTTAAGAACTAATAATAAATTGTACAAACATTCAAAACTAACCCATGTTTAAATATGCCGAGAGATCACTGTTCATTCACTAGCCAATGTCCGGGTTTTTGGTTTCTGATGGGTGGCCAGAGACTAGGCATAAAATGGTCGGTCACTGATTTATGACTTAATGAAAATATATTTATGCACTCATTCCTCTGGAAAGCTTAGTTATAAGTGAAATAATTCAGCTGACGACTTAAGAGGCCGGACACTGGGCATGTTACCCTATGCTCTATCAACTAAAACAACGGCAAATATAGCAAAAAGGCAGTTATTTGATAATAATAATAATAATTCAGTTATCAGAGAGGGTTCGGGTCACTGACGTTGAGTATATGTATTTTTTAATCATATTTGTCTCACCCATCAACAAGTTGCCTTCAATCATTCAAAGGCGGGAAAATTACAGAGATATATTATTATGTTGTTATATTAAACATCGTGGAGGTCAGACAGTCTGCAACCTCGTCATTAAGGGACCCGACTTGGACAAAGCTACCTAGGTGTGACTCAAATCAAGACCTAGAGAGTGCCATTGAGAATAGAGATCCACCGAACAACCATCGCAGAGAATCAATGCCGCAAAACACAACAAGCATCAATACAACGATCGTAACACCATCCCAAGGCCCTTTATTCGATCCCAGCAGACATCATCCCGCATAATTTCATCGACCAGAACCACAAAATACGTGAAATCAGGCGCAGCTCATGCGTAGTTCCATCACAAGACGCAATACCGCAAGTAGCAGTAAGCATCAATGCCCCCTCACAACACATAGACATGGTCCCAATCGACTTTGGCAACAAAATTGGTAATGTTGTTAATTAAAAATAGCACCAACATATCATACTGTCACGCGACTACGAAGCCAGTAGCCAAACATCCATGCATCATAGAGCTATTGCACTAAGACATGAAGTTGAGTATGCTTGTTGCACTTAACAGTACTACCAAACACACTCTCCCTAATCCGAAAAATAGGCGACGTATCATAACGCTATGCGCTACGTCGCCCACAACCGGTAAGGATGTGCGATGTTCACGGGCAATTCGTATGGCTACTACAAACCCGCTCATCATCAGCACTAAGATGATATGCCTAGGAAATATATGTTTACCGTGGTCACGGTCACGGTGAATCAGTCTACACGCCACTATAACAATCCTTTTCAAGTCCCATTTCTATCAATACAAGGCTTTTACATATTTGAGACCTACCACATATTTGCTTTTGTTCGGTAGTCGCCTGACCACCACACATATACACACTCTATATATACACATACATAAATACATATAGGTATGCGCCTCCGGCAGCTTCATTATAAAAATCAATAACATTACATGAACACGCCTTTCCCAATTAAAATTCTATAAATGAAGGATCTTTATTATAGTATTATAAATGACTTGTATTTCTATTGAATATTGAATATTTTAGAATATTTTAAGCAGTTTTAGTAAATTTTATGAATTTTGAAAGAAAATAATAAGCTTTTACTTTAATTATTATATTATAATCCTTACGTTTAAAATGAATGTTCTTATGTTTGAATTGAATATATTTTAACTTTATGCTTATTGATACAATTTAATTGTTTATAATTTTACTTTTAAGATAATTTTAGACTACTTTATATAGAAATTAATTATTACTAGAACTCATGCTTGCACTAGAATCCTTTCAAATATAAGCGGAGACCTGTGGCCAGCGGTGTAAATGTGTCGATACGTCTATCAATCCAAATGGATTGGACGTCTTCCAAAATTGTTTCTTGAATGTGAAAAACGTATGCCATTTGAATGAACGTCCTCCAGTTTTGGATTTCCAAATGAATTGAAATCCATTCAGCCAAGCCAAATGGACGTCTTTCGCGGCCGACTGTCAATGTCAAAAACGTGCGCCACGTCATTTGGAAGCCGTACGAATTGTGCAAAACCACGTCCATTTTTTTGGTGATTTTTGTCTCAGTTTCTCTGATATTGACGGCGGTACGTGTGCTGGATCATAGAAACTCTGTAGCTGAGTCTATAAAACGCTTAAACATCAAATCATTCAAATTATCCGGATTGAATTATATGTTATTGTCTACATCTGCACGTGACACTGTGTTAGAAGTAATTGAAAAATATAAATCGCATCCATGTTAATGGCAACATCTTTAATATCACGACAGGGAAAAGAGAAATGCAATGCTTGCTTTGTTTACGTTGTTTGTTTTAAACCACCCTTTCATCCGTTTTCTCTTACGTTTTTTTTCGGTCTACTTATCGAAATACACACTTAATTAAAATGTTGTAGCACCAAAACAGCTACACATAAATAAGGAAAATTAAAGTTACAGCCTTTCTATTATATATATATATATATATATATATATATATATATATATATATATATATATATATATATATATATATATATATATATATATATATATATAATAGAAATGATATATAAATAATTTTAAATATATATATAATAGAAAGGCTGTAACTTTAATATTTCCTTATTTATGTGTAGCTGTTTTGGTGCACAGTCCACCTGATAATAGTAGCAGTTTATGGCCTCCTGCAAGTATTTTTTATTCCATCATTACAGCCTATTAAGGTCTTCTCCATAGATTGGCTCATGTAGACATATTTGTAATAATTTCTACGCCTGGTAAGCAGTTTTTTTTTAATTATATTAGTTGTTATCAGAAAGATGCTACTGCCTATGCACTCTATCGTATCTTACGATATACCTACCTAGGTAAGATGTAATTTCACCCAGACGGACTTCTAGGTAAATGATAAGTTCAGTAATTGTCAATATGAACTTTAAAATTGTACATTTAGTTCGAAAAATATTATTCGTAAATTAATTAATCGTTTACCACCCCGCAGAAAATCCAAGACTTCAAAGAAATAGCGGGAACAGTTAATCCGGAACTGGAAGTTAACTGGAATAAGTCAGCATTAGTGATGGAACCGCGACCTGGCGTACAAGTTTTGTTGACGAGTTGCGGTCACGATGAAGCTTTCCGGGCGCTCGTCAAGAAAGAACAACAACATGGAGGTGCCGCACTCATTATTACTTCCTATAGGAAGTTACCCACGCGTCATTTCCGCCCCTAACTTTCACGACTTGTCTCATAATGATAATACCCGAGAGTATTTTAAATTTTTCCCGCTTTTCATGTTACTCTGCTAATGAACTTTTCCATTTTACTCGTTAACAACATCTAAATAAATGTTGTTGTAGATAAAATTAACTACGTAAATAGTAGGTACTTACAAAGTAACTTGTAACAAAAGTGCGCCTGTTAAAATGCGAATTCAAAAACAACAACTAACAGCATTGAAATATAAATAACATTGTATCTGCATTACAATATTGGAGTTGAAGCGGGAATGACAGTTATAATTGGGATCTTACTTTCATCTTATATTTTGTTTTGTCTTGGCTAATGCTTGATCTGTTTAAAAGTCTGCGAATGCTTAAACTTCAGTTTCTTCGATTGTTACTGATCATTGTACTCCTCAGCTTTGTTCATATGTAGCTCTTTATTAAGAACAATTGTCAGCATTTCGAACTGACAATGGATTCACAAACTTTCTTGTCAACTTATTCAATTTAAATAATGATACGATCTAACCATGTATTCGAAGCTGAGTGAGTTCGGTGGAATAGCTCGTAGCTTAGTGTTTGATTTACAAAGTAATAAAAGCCACTGGTTTAATCAGCCTTTCCATAATATTAAGTCACAATGTTGCATAAATGTATAATTTTCGCTCATAGATTACCTCCTAAGGGGTACAGCTTTTAGGGGGTAATCTATGTTTTCGCTTAACGCGTATAAACTATTCGGTTTATGAGTATTTGTTTGAAGCATATAAATTTATTATAGCCATTTAACTGCACTATCCAGATGTTTGCCAAGAAACACCATTAATGACGTGTACCAGAAAACACGTTTGAACTATGTATGGGTATTGTTTTTTTTTTCTTAATGACCGTTACACTAGGTTTTTCTCCTATATCGTGGAGGCAGTTTTCATACATACAGAGACACACATCTAGATCAGGAACAATTATTCCATACAAATGCTTGTTTCGTGCGGGATTCGAACCCGCAGTTCTTAGCGCCGCAACTCAATGTTAGGCAATTGCGCTACAAACTCTTAAGTCAGACTTAATACACAAATATTACAGAACAGCCGCTGCAGAAACCGCATATATATATAACAGAGGTCCGTATGAAGACAGTAAATCGCTATTTGGGTATTATAAATTGCGGCGATGGTACGGCCTTTGCCCTGGCAAGGGTGGAAGAGATTCCAACAACAGATGAAGAGTGTATGATAGCTGCTACACACTTGGGCCTAAAAGTACTAAGCGGAAAATCCTATTTGATCATGAAAAACTTATATGCTGGAGACGAACTTTAAAAAATCTTCACTTCTTTGTTACTATTTGATGTTTTTTAAATCAATATAGACAACCATAAAAGAAACATGTGTATATAATTGATGCTTACAAAATTAGTAAAATTATATTCTATAGAATATTATAGTAATTGTTACTCCAATGAGAATACACTTCAGTGTTAATAATGCCTTCCAGGCCGACTTCAAGCACGTGGTAGATTATGAAGGATTAGCTAATTATGGCTAGTTCCATTTATAACAAAGAGGCTCTTAACACTTTTCACTTATTTCCCTGTACTGCAAACATGAAGCTTATAAGATGCGACCTAAAGAAAGTTCAAATTCAGTGGTACATGGAACATAATACAATTGATTCTAATTTATAATTCTACATTAAAAATGATAGTATGATGTTTCTTGTACAGCGGTTTTCTCCGAACCAGAGGTAAAAGCGTAAAGTAGTTTCAACAGGAAAATATTACTTGACATCTATGTTGAATAAAAATTATTCTGTTCTATTATGTACCGAACTGACAAACAGAGAAGAAAGCGAGTTTATAAAAACGTCGTAAAAATAAAAATTAAACTGGTTTTTTTTTTGTTTTCTTTTTTATAATCCTGGGTGATGGCTGATTTTCGAATCAAATTCTGTAGAGAAGTCTACTGACAATTTTTTTTTTCATTACTTTAAAAAATTATCCTGCAATGAAGAACTCATTCTCCCACAAAAACTTACAAAGCTTTGGTCAGCTCAAAGCCTTGCAGTGATCTTTACCAGGAATCACATCAACTATCTGTGAATTTCAAGATGTGCTGTATTGCATGCATTTCTAACCATAATAGCACCATCGGCGTCTTGTCTATCAGTAAGGCACGATGTTCAAGTAAGGAGACCATTAGAAATAAGAAATAAATTCACGTAAGGAGAACATAAAATTAACTTTAATTGCACCTCATTTTTAATAACTTTAAGTATCTAACACATGCTTATAAGTCACCATACTTTATTCGACATAACAATATAAAATATTTTTACTAGAATATTTTTTTCGAAATTGCTAAATGATAACTTTCAACTTAAAAAAGTAACTCAATCGGTAGGAATCATTAATTTTCAAACACGAGCATTAATACGTTTTCTCGCTCATTTATAAATTACCACAAATTATTTGAAATGTTCACAATGCCTTGTTTAATTATAATACAAAATTTTCTCTAACAGCCAACGGCTATTATATTATGTGGACAAGATCTCAGAAATAAAATAAATAACTTACCTGCAAAGTGCCGCTAAAGTAATAAATTGTTTGTGGCTATGCTAAATCGATTTCCTTTGTACCCGTAAGTAAAACTTATGCCCCTTTTCCATCCGTTTCGCTTTGCGGACCTATGAGGTTTTTAGTAAATAATGTGACAAACAAAATATTGCATAGCCCCGAAGTACTTATAAATCAATGATAGAGAAATATTAAACCCTGTAAAGTTATAGGTACAGAACAATGCGCTCGTGTTTCTCAAGGATTTCAGAAAATATATAGCGTAGTGCAGCTGTGATTTTAATTACATTACCGTTTTACAAAATTTCAGCTATTGTAAAGACTACGAGTCCGATGGGACTGATGTGTATATGACAGTTTGTAATTTTTAATAAAATAAAATAAAACCTTAATATTTTACTTTATCATTTATTTTACTTTATCAACAGTGGTAGAGCCACGCGGCAGCTTTTGCTGTCGCACGGATGGGCCGGCTCGAACCGGGGTGGTACCACGACCTCACAGAAAACCAGCGTGAAGTAGAGGTTCACCTCTGCGTTTCGCTTGGTGAGTGCAGGTGACCGGAGGCCCTTTTTACTGGAAATGAGGCATTCCATCTCAGTCCTCACGGGTGACAATGCATCTACATTTTGATTTGTAATAGAGGATAGATGTAGATGTCTATGGGCCACAGTAACCACTTACCATCAGGTGGACTGTGTGCTCGTTTGTCACCCTTATCGTATAAAAAAAAAATATTTAAGGAATTTGCTCTTTATGTGGTGGTCCCAGGTTTAACATCCAGCCGGATTGTCAACTTGTGCAACGCATTTTTGGTTAATAATTTTTTTTAAATAGTGTATATTATTTAAATTAATTCCCTGAGTACAACATTTTGTCGAATTGAAAAACGATTACTACCGACGTCAATGACTTTAATGAACTTCATAATAAATTTAAAATCGCCGTTTCTTCAAACACTATTAAACATTTAACCTGTTGAAATAATATATATTATGTCACAGCCAACTACAGTAGTAGTTTCTCCCGATACAGAACTGTCTGTCATTTTTTGCGAGTGGAAATCTGCGCGCACAATAGCAATCGTCCGTCACTACGAAACTCACACGTAAGAATTATAACAATACCATAACTAACGACACACATAACAGTATAACTCGGTAACAGAGACAACTCGGATACTACTGTTTTTTTTTTTTATATAATCAAACACTGGCAATGCTATTAACATTACTAATATTCCCTTTAACCACTCCTAAGCTTAAAATGATTGTGTATATATACTGAGATCTGTCGTTCGACCGATCTGAATATAGTATGAGTACGAGCGGCCTGTGGTGGTTTTGTTTATGGAATGGGGATGACAAACGAACACACAGTCCACCTGATGGTAAGTGGAGGCTGTGACCCATAGACATCTACATTTATAATATAGGGTGACAAACGAGCACACAGTCCACCTGATGGTAAGTGGTTGCTTTGGCCCATAGACATCTACATACATCTATCCTCGTTTGCGAAACAAAATGCAGATGCGTTGTCACCCTTGAGGACTAAGATGGAATGCCTCTTTTCTAATAAAAAGGGTCTCCGGTTCTCTACACTCACCATACGAACACAGCAGTGCTAAGCCGCTATTTCACGCTGGTATTCTGTGAGAGCATGGCCCTTCCCCGGTCGAGCCGACCCATTCGTGCTACAACTACAATATATCTGCAGTGTGCCTCTACCACGTAAACGAATTCGAAACAACACGATCGTTATTATTGTAATTTTAAATTTAAAAAGAAATAAATGGCAATAATGTGTAATAATTACTTATATATGGAAAGGTTATGGTAATTTTTTTGTAAATTTGACTTGGCCGAACTCTTTTTGCAGTAAAAAAATCAACAATTCGGCATTTTTGTAGGACGTGGATTCAGATAGATTTAGTCTAGTGAGCAGTGCGGTTGCAACTAGTTGTATAGTGTGCATAGGTCCGCGTGAACTTGTACTTTGACGTCCGCGTGGACTTATATTTTGACAGAGGGGAACGCCTGCTTATGGCTACTCCCCTCCGATCCGTCGGTGACCCGTCTTGCTCCATGGTCAACTAGCTTAATTAGCCTTTCATTTAAGAGCCTAATCGATTTCGCCGATGCGTCTAATGCCGCCTAAAAGTCAGCGACTGTCTTGTTCAATGAAACTAATAAGGGGACCATATCATATTATGTCATTGGTCTGTGGTCAATTATGCGCTATGTCCTATATTGTATAAACGTAAGCGGATTTAGAATGCTCCAAGAGGCACCCCAGCCACAATTAACCAAATGTCGCTGATATTACAAGATAGGTGCAATATTGTATTAGACGCATTGGCTTAATATCATTTAGGCCGCTAGATGAATAGTAAAAAGGCCAGGTTGTTGAGTTAGACCGATCTTTTTTTATTTATTTTTTAAAAGAGGTTATCTCGCTCAGTTATAAAATCACACTAGGTTTTTCTCGTGTATCGTAGTTGAGTTGAGTTTACATACATAAATTTCACAAGTACAAACATCCAGACCCGGAACAATTATTTATAGGCCATACAAAAACATTTTCAGTGCGGGATTCGAACCCGCGGCCCTTGGCGCTCCAACTCATTGCTAAGCCACGGCGCCACGGAGCCTTTGATTATATTTTTATAAGTTTTATTGTGTGTTATACATAAAACAATGATTTTTTTGTATGAATACTACTACGCATAGCGCTATAAAAATTTTGCACGTAGCTCCGCAAAAATTTATGTCAAAATCGCGCACTCCGACATGGTAGCCCTACGCTCTAGCTATAAGGCTGTTGAGAAGATGATCTCTGTGATGAAATTATTTTTTATTTTTATTTTATTTTTATTTGCTTGGAAAACTTACAGCTAATTTACAAAAATAATATAATTATAACAAAAATGAAGGCCATTTACAAGTTTTCACTTATATAATACTTTATATGACAAGAGTGTGTCAGAAGAGATATAGTAACAGTATACTTAAATATAAATTACATTATCAAAAAGAAAAGAAGTTGTTAGAAAGTAAATGCCTAAGTTGGATAACGCTGGAATGAAATAAATCAATATCCACATTGTGAGTATGTGCTGTAGCATTAAAAGATCTGCATGATCGAATAATAAAAGAGTTTTTCCTGTAATTACTTTTCACGCATGGTACATATAAAAGTGTAGGTTTCCGCAAACCAGATGATGAGGTATGTAAACCTATTTTACTTAATAGTTCAGGACAATCAATATTACCATTCATAATTTTAAAGACGAAAGAGAGATCTGCAATATTTCTACGCTCATATAAAGGTAATATGTGATTTTTTTTACATCGAAGAGTATAGCTGGGTATAAACTTTTTTGATTTAAATTGAAGAAAACGCAAAAATCTTTTTTGTATGCGCTCTATCCTATCCACATATTCATTATAATTTGGATTCCAAATTTCAGAACCATATTCCAAATGGCTGCGTACAAAAGCGCAATATAGAATTTTGAAGGTTTTTATGCTTTTAAAATCTGCCGATAACCTTAATATGAAACCCAGCGCTTTGTTAGCCTTTGTAACGATGTTATCAACGTGATTGTCAAACAGCAATTTAGAGTCAAAAGTAACACCGAGATCTTTGATAGTGCTGGTTCTATTTATAGAAATATGGTTTAATTTATAATTGTAAATTATAGGATTAGGTTTACGAGTAAATGAGCAGATAAAACATTTG